GTTTTGAACCACAGCAATTTTCCACCAACCTCCAAAGTCTCCTTTCACCAATATCAAATCTCACCTGACCTAACAGTGCAACCTCCCTCTTCCACTCTCCTCTCAATTGGACATCATGGCACCTCCTACATTTAAACGCACTAAGCGCCCCCAATTACAACCCTAGCACACCAAGCTGACTCAATACCTCCAAAAATGTTCCAGAACTGCTGGATGGCAGACGCTGCTGGAGAAAGTCTCTCTCTGCGTCTGACTTCCTCCACTATAAATTTATGCTGTGCTCCTACAGTCTGGCTCTTTACTCTTCAAAATAAAACTACTTCAATACACTCATAACCACACTCCTGCGAGCCCAAACTACTGTTTCATGCTTTTAACTCTCTTCTTTGCCCTGTCATGCCTCCTCCTCCTACCAACTTGACCCCCACAAACTTTGCAACTCACTTCACTGCCTCTTCTCCCCTATCCCTCTCTGTTGGTGTTCCCAAGCGTCTGTCCTTGGTCCCTTACTGTTCTCAAACTACACTGCCTCCCTTGGTAAACTTATCAGCTCCTTTGGCTTTCAGTATCATGTCAATGTGGATGACACGCAAATTTATCTGTCCTCCCTGATTTCTCACCACCCCTCTTGACTTGTGTCTTTGACAGCCTCTCTGCTATTTCCAACTGGATGGCTGCTCATTTCCTTAAACTAAACCTGTCCAAAACAGAACTTCTGGTATTCCCTACCTCAAGTGTTTCTACTCCGTTGTCTGTGTCCCTCCAAGTCAATGGCACTACCATCCGCTCTACCTCTAAGGCTCGCAGTCTAGCTGTTCTCTTTGACTCCTACCCCTCCTTCACCCCTCATATCCAATCAATCGCCAAATCCTGCCGCTTCCATTTCAGAAACATTGCGTGCATATAACCCTATTTAACACCTGATACAGCAAAGGTGCTTGTCTATTCTGCTCTCTTCTCTCGCCTTGACTATTGTAATCCGCTTCTCAGTGGTTTTACTTTCCCAACTTGCCCTGTTACAGTCTATAATGAATTTGGTGGTGAGGATCATCTTCCTGTCTGCCTGCACCTCCCACTCCTCCCCCATTTTCAGGCCCTACATTGGCTGTCCGTAAGATATAGGGCTCAATTTAAGATCCTGACACTTGCTTACAAATCTCTACGCAATGCTGCTACCACCAACTTATCTTCACTAATACACAAATATGTTCTTTAGGAAAGCATTTCAATTAAACTGTGAACAGCTTTATCTACCTGCACCCTGATTCCTCTCCTGAAACTGTCATCAAAACAATACGCTATGCCCTCAATGAATACTATCCTAGCAACCTACTCTTCTACCCTACCCTTACCTTTTGTGTCACTATACCTCACTCCCTCTAGCATGTAAGCTCATTGAGCAGGGCCTTTAATTTCTCTGTTCCTGTGCGTCGAACTTGTCTGGTTACAAATACGTGTCTGTTAGTCCCCCCATTGTACAGCGCTTTGGAACTTGTTGGTGCTTTATAAATAATAATAATAAAAACAATGGTCTAAAAAATAGAAATTTTGTTTTTAAGAGACTATATTACAAGAGAAACTGCATGCACCGAAAACTACAATGAAAACATTACAAGAGAAAGTTCATGTGCAGAAAAACCGCAGGCAAACTAAATGCGCTTCCAGGCTTCTCACTAAGTTTAAATCAGTGTAAAAGACGTAGGACGTCCTCACGCTTTGCATGAGGACAGAGAGTGTGTTCAAAATTCCCATAGGAAAGCATTGATTCAATGATTTCCTGTGGGAATTGTCTAATGCTCACTGTTTATGCGCATTAGGTCCTCCATTGACGCCAGCACCAAGGGATCTCGACACTTGAATTAAGTTAAGTGAAAAAAGGTGGTTTAACCCATTTTATGCTTGTAAGAGGGGGTGACATAACATTAGAGACCGGTGTACTATAGCACTAGGAATACAAATTTGTATTATTAATACCATATTGTTTCTTTAGGGGATGTAAATACAGACAACTGACATCCACATACAATAACATGAGTTATTGTTATGCTCTTCATGTTCAGGGTTATTAACTAAAGGGAGAATTGCCAGGAATTCAGGGTGATTTGAAAATACATTTAAACATTCATACCATGATAGCAGAATGCAAACAATTCTGTTTTCAGTGTGGCTACTTTGGTCTTAAATTTTAAATTCACCTCCCATACCCCCGGAATGGGCAATGAGGTATACCTCTAGGGGTGCTATACCGTACAGATACCTCCTCACTTTATGATATAGATGCCTAACACACTACAAATCTTTTCCCTTAATGTTAAAGGCCTCAATAGCCCCTACAAACGAAAGCAACTGTTGAAGGACATGCATAAAGCAGGAACCGCGATTGTCTGTGTTCAAGAGACACACTTCGCGAACCGTAACCCTCCTCAGATCCGTTCCCCAATGTACCCACAAGTGTATCACGCTTACTCACCAACCAAGTCCAAAGGTGTTGCAATTTTTTTCCACAAAGATTGGCTTTACACAGCTCAAAAACAATTCACTGACCCAACTGGCCGTTTACTGGTCCTAGTAGGCGAACTGAATGGTATTCAAGTAACTGTGGTATCGCTATACGCTCCTATTGAAGCTCAATTCTCATTTCTTAATAAAGCAATTAAGAAAATAAATTCCATCAAACAGGGCCATGTTATCATCTGCGGCGACTGTAATTGAACCCTCATGCCCTCTCTAGATATACAACGCATCAAAAACAAACCTCCCAATAAATTATCTATTCACAATAGTAAACTGTTCTCTCGGCTTCTTCATGAGCAAGATCTATATGACACATGGAGAAATTTATTTCCAACAGCACGAGATTACACCTACTTCTCACAGGTACACCTAACGTACACACGCATCGACCTTTGCCTAGTCGATAAACATGGTCCGATCATGCCCCCATCCTGGTCACGCTAGCAGTGCCATACCCCACAACAGGGAGAGGTAAATGGCGCTTGAATGAATCTCTCCTTGATAACCCTGCTGACATACAATATATTTCCACGGTAGTAGATAATTACTTTGAAGTTAATTCCACTGAAGATACCACGGTAGAAACTCAATGGCTGGCACACAAAGCAGTTGTCAGGGGTCACTTCATCAAATTGGGTTCCATAGCTAAAAAAAGCTATATATCTAAAGAGACTGCACTTCGCCATACGCTTAGGAAGTTAGAAGAATCCAACAAACAATCCCCATCCAAGTCAGTCACCCGTCAAATCACCAAAGTACAACAGGATATTCACCTTCTTCAAACACAAATATACACTAAGCATGCACGTAAAACTCAACAAACGTATTACTTTTCGGGGAATAAGGCAGGCAAGATATTGGCTAATCAACTGAAAGCAAAATACCTACAAACTAAAATCCCTTATCTATATTCCAAAGATCACGTACGAATATATAACCCGAATACGATTGTTGAAGAACTGGCCAGTTTTTATGAAGACCTGTACAATCTTTGCAATAGCCCAAACACCAATTCTCCCAATGCTGTAGACATTACACAGTACCTCTCCCGAATCACGCTCCCTCAAATACCGACGCATCACATAAACCTTTTAGATGCACCTTTTACAGAAAATGAAGTGGGTAATGCGATTAAATTCCTGCCAAAACATAAAGCACCGGGGCCTGATGGTCTCTCCAACTACTATTATTTAAAATTGGCATCACGACTAATACCACACCTTACAACATTATTTAACAAAATAAGAACGACAGGTAAATTCCCACAAGAAATGCTGGAAGCCTACATTATCACCTTGCCTAAGCCAAATAAACCACCAACATATTGCAGCAACCTCAGGCCGATTTCATTACTTAATGCCGACGTTAAGTTGTACGCCAAGCTGCTTGCCAATAGAATTCGCCCCTTGTTGTCCGCGTTAGTCTCAGAGGAACAAGCGGGCTTTGTTCCTGGCAGGCAGGTTGGGGACAACACCAGATACTTGACTGGGCCAACCTCAAAAACAATTCAGGTGCCTTGTTGGCATTAGATGTGGAAAAGGCATTCGACCACCTAAATTGGGAATATATGTCCAAGACTTTGTCGGCCTTTGTTTCTCCAATGCTTTCATTACCAGCATCATGGCCCTATACTCCACCCCATCTGCTAAAGTTTTCAGTTCCGGCTTCACATCAAGAAATTTTCGCATAACCAATGGTACGAGGCAAGGGTGTCCCTTGTCACCCTTGATCTTCATTTTATGTTTGGAACCTCTAGTTAGAATGATCAAGCTTGATGCGGCGTTACCCGGTATAGATACCCCGGCTGGAGAAAAAAAAGTTGGCACTCTTTGCCGATGATGTAATCATCTTTCTAGCTAACCCATCTGAATCCATTCCTCACCTATTACAAACACTGGCCACATATGGAGACATTTCCTATTATAAAAATAATGTTAATAAAACCCAGATACTTGACAAGCAATTGGTGAGCGAACTGAAAAACACATACCAATTTGCGTGGCAAACTAACGCAATTTCGTACCTAGGTATCAAATTAACGCACTCCAAATCCCTAACTATAAAGGAAAATCACATAGCGGTCCTGTCCAATATTACCAAACAGATGGACTCTTGGAACAATCTCTATACATCATGATTTGGTAGAATTAATTCTATTAAAATTATGATTTTGCCACATATACTCTACCTATTTAGGTCATTACCCATCGCCTTACAGAATTCGCTCCTTCAACGTTTCCAAAGGGCAATTAACGCTCATATTTGGAAGAAAAAACCCCCAAGAATCTCTTTCCACTCTTTATGGCGCCCATTCAAAAAAGGAGGTCTTAACGTTCCCAACATCATGCTCTACTATAAAGCAACCCTGATGTCGCAAAGCCTCTATGTCATGATGGGCACACACAAACCAGTATGGGTAGACTTAGAATCCGCTTGTGGGGGTTCACACTCCCTCTATGATGCCCTATGGTCCTCCACCCCCTTAGCATCACCCTCCACGCTCCCAACAACACGATATCTTACAAAATCATGGTCTACGTGGAACACAGCAATATGGCCAAAGGCAGAATTACTGTACCTTGCACCATTGTCAGCCCTCTCCGCCTTATCTCCTGACCTCCAAACATCCAAATGGTCAGCCTTAGGTGTCACACATGTACATAAAATGTTTGGTATAAATGGCATCCATCCTTTCCCAACACTGCAGGAACGGTACAATTTACCTTCGAGGGATATTTTCATGTACTTGCGTGTCAAACATATCTTAATGTCACAATCGATTGAGCACATTGACCCGCTGTCACTTAGTAATATAGGTGCACAATGTTACCATGCCAGACTGATACGTCCTTCTTGCAAACTTCTTTCCCTATGTTACATGACGCTGTCTGATATTCATGGACCCTCCAAACTACCTTACATGAAGCAGTGGGAAACATCATTAGGGGTAACCCCAACTCTCATAGAATGGGAACAAGCCATCACTTACACCAAACAATCTTCGAAGTGTGTCACACTATGGGAAGCCTACTTTAAAATGTTAATGAGATGGTACTTGGTCCCGAGCAGGATTCACAAAATTTACCCCAATTCTCCCTCAATATGCTGGCGCTGCAACTCCAGTTTAGGTTCTATAGAACATATATTTTGGCACTGTCCCAACCTGCAACACTTTTGGAAGGCCGTCCAAACAACCATTCTTGCGATTTGTAAGACTACACTCCCACTAGTCCCAGAAATTTACTTGCTCCACATTATCCCTAACCTACTTGATATACCATCTAGAGATGCAGTATTAAACATACTTGTGGCAGCAAAAATCAGCATTGCAGCCCATTGGAAAGATACCAAGTCCCCTTCTTTGAAGGAGGTTCTAGGTAGGGTAGAGGTTACATACCACCACGAATGCGAATGGGCAAAAGGGGGTATCGGGTCACACTTTCTGGACAGGTGGAAAAATTGGGAGTCTTTTAAAGACTCTCATGCTACAGTGTAACGAGCTGCACTAGCTACAGGTATCCCTCCGTTCTTTACCATCCCCCTATCTGTACTGAACAGGACATTGAAAGAAGTAAACCCGCAACTAGACTGGGGAAGGTATTCCATATGGTATAAGGCCTACCACTACAAGACAAGATACTATGCTATATTATCCTACTATACCTTGCAAGACTACTCAACCACAACCATACCACTACTATACTATATTCCACTATAATAAAAGTATTATAACACACGACGAGATGCGCTCTACTGTACCCTTCCCACCCACCTTTCCTCCCCTTTCAGTTATTATGGTTATTTCATGTATGTTCTTATCTATGCTAAGTATATGACGCATAGCTTCTTACTACGGAGTAGCAAGAATGTTTAGATTGTTATGTCCACACCATTGGTCGTGGAATCTCAGGTACAATGCATAACCTTAGCCAACTGTCTAAAACTTCTCACAATACCATAACACATGGCAAAACCACCTGGTCTATCAGTTACCAATATTGGCGATACTACGTACTCTACCCAAACAGGCCGAGCTATCCCCGCATTACTTTCACAGTTTTGTTTTTCCTTTCTTTTAATTTTATGTCTTCATATTTGCTATCCTGTTATTGGATACTTGGTCTGTACACCAGGCAGATAATAATGATGTAGAAGGGAGAGCGGTTCATTTCAGTCGTGTATAAAATATGGTGACAACCATCGAACTTTCCAGGCTACCTCAATAGAAATATATACCTGTGTATCCCCATATGTATGTATGTATGTATGTATGTATGTATTTAGGTGCCAGACAGCTCCTTCCTTCCTTCATGATGGTATACTTATATAAGCTATGTATAAAGCGCAACGAGATAATAAGGCTACTGTACATGTTATCACCGTATTTTTCTTCTCTTTTCTCTTATTTGTGTGTTTTTGTACTATGCTGTAATGTATTATGTTATATGAGGAATTTGATTCCTCTATTGTTACCTCTTTATAAAACAATAAAGACATACATTGAAAAAAAAAAAAATTTGAAATTCACTTTGAATTTGTAGAAATTTGCACTTTATTGCACATCTCTGTGCTAGATGCACAATCATCATTGTCCCTGTCTAGATTTCTGTTTGTCCTTTCATTAAATGGCTTTTTGTGGTTACTTGAAAGTCAACTTGGAAAATTTTGGCCAACAGAGAGAAAATCTTAATTTGAGTCGGCAATAAGTACAATGCCTATTTTTTCTTTGATCTCACAATTTGGTTTTCACCTCTTCAAAACTCACTGTTTAGTGTTTACCTATCTATACTTATAGGTGATATTATAAACCTATCTCCATGGGTTACGTTTTAGCATTCTATAGTATATACTTGTATGGTAATGAAAATGTATTTCTTTTTTTATTGTGACTTTTGTTAAATAAAACAAAATCTGTTATGTCTGAGATGTCACATTCATGTTATATTTTATTTTCATACATATATAAAATAGAAATAATAACATATAATAAGTAAACTTATTTACTCCTCAACGTTCATGCCACAGAAACAAAATGTAGTTTTTCTAACTTTTAAGAGGGCAAACACAAAAATGAAATTAAAATTCAATATACATAATATGGTATTACAATGTAAATATGCTAATTACAATACACTTGAGAATGGAAGAAAGGATGGAAGTTAGAAACATCAATTAGCAGAAGAAAACACTGCCTCCAGGCTGTTTTCTTTTGTTTTTTAACTTTATAACTAATTTGGTCAAGTGAGATTGTTAAAGTTTTTAATTATAATATTGGGTTTGATTCAGAACTCTAGAAGAAAATTGGACATGTCTGAGGTGGATACTTAGAGTGGACATTTTTCACAAATTCTTAACAGCTTCTCCAGACAGCCATCATTCTTGATCAATTAGTCAGTCCGTGTGGAAGAAGGGCAAGAGAAATTGTAGCATTATTTTGTTATGTCGTTTGCCATTTGCAATGGTAATTCGCTAATTAACTGGCCCACTAGGGACATAATATTGTAGTTTACACCTTTATTACTGATTCTAGATTTTGTGTTTTTTTTAGATTTTTACTATACCAATAATTATTTTGTGAGGCACTGTCTTAAGTGCCCATATACATGAGCTTTTTCTGACTTTTCCAAAGTATCTACTAAGTTTGGCTATTTACGTGTTTCCCGATGTAGAAGGCATACAGAGAGGAAAAACGGGGCTTTTGAGTACTTCATTATGTCTAAATAGTTTGTTATAAATATATATGTCAGAAAATTAATCCTTTAGTAAATATTTATAAACGAGACATAAAAATGGCAATTTTAAAAGCTTCAAGGCAGCTTGTGACTCTTTCATTCAGAGATTAGTGATTGCACTTTTCTAAATGTTACATATTTATCGGATATTTTTTTTCTTTCTTCATAATATGTAAGCATCAAGCAATGTAATATGTAAACAGTGGGAAATCAAGTCTCAGCCTGTAATATTTTGAAACAAATATAATAACAATATTAAGCCATAGTTTCCGTGCAGAATTTAGTGTAATAAAAGGTACATTCCAAGTAAACTTACAAAATATAATCTGCAATCTCTTATACTAAGAAAGGTGCTAATATCTTAGGTATTTATCTGAAGTGACTTAGATGCAATCCACTATGTAGCAATTATAACAATTTCCAGGAGTAATAATAATAAATGTTTTAAGGCATGCACCTGTGACATTTTCTCCATGAAGTGATGTTTAAACTGTACCTGTGTGTTCCAGTAAACTATTACATTTAAGATGGTATTTGTAGAAAGAAATAGTGTTTCAAAATTCATCTTCTTCCTTCCTTCCTTCCTTCCTTCCCCCCTCCCTCAGTTTTTGAACTGTAGTTATTTTTTTTCTCCCATAACTCCTTTTAAGGCCATGCGTAATAGGAGCATATATCTACTTTTAACATTACCACATGATAACTGTCTTTTTATGAAATCTCTTACTGTCCATTACCTGATGGATGCACCAATGCATTGAGGGCACACCTGTGATATCATATCCACCACACCTAGAAGGGTACCCTAAGAAACTGCCAAAATGTTATAAAGTGAGCAATTATTAACTTGAAATTGTAATATCTATAATTAGACATCACTTTAAATTAAACAGGTATTTTTCTTACCATTTGTATTGTCGGTATCCGCATGCTCTTGTAATTAGTCATCTCTCCTAACGATGTACAAAATGAATGTCAGCTACTTAACTTGAAATGTCAGCATGAAGTTACATTTTGCAGCTGTAAAGTTACTGTCAGGGTCATTGTCACAAAACATAAAAATAAAATGTTAAACTAATATCGAAAATTGCAGATAGAACATTAAAATTGTTATTTTTGTTCAGGTTAGCTCTGTTTGTGGATAGGCGTTCCAAATAAATTAATAAAAATATTACTTAACCTCTTAACCATATGTTGGTCTATGATGTCATGCACTAAAGGAATTTAATGCCCTTTAATGGCAAAGATAAACCGCCATGCATTAAAACTACCAGTACTGTTAAATCTCTGCTGGTAACAAGCAGTTCCAGGTATAATTGCATACCCGAGGGAACACTCTATCAGCTGGGGCCAAAGTTTGTGTCAAACTAATTTGGGAGCTGACACCAGGGTGACAGATGGGGTATGTGCAGTGTTTAAACTGACCCTGGCCCTTTAATTCCCTACAAATTATCATGGCTAAGCAGTCACGTTCATCTGCAGTGATTCTGAGTCTGCACCACTGACAAGGGAGGCCCTAAAAAATAATATATTGTGGTCTTCCTGCGTGCCACTCTGCCTAATGATTGGTGCTGGGCTTTGTCAGCTGCCAAGCACCAATCACAGTTTTAGTAGGTGCATCTGTAACGGACCGTTTTGCACACAAGGGGTAAAAACCGTTTAGGCGATCGCCCCCCTTTCCAGAGATGCAGGCACAGCTATTGTAAAACGCCAAACTCACGAACCGCCAATAAGGGAATGCTCCAAACTCCCGAACGGCATCCAACATAGCACTCCAAACACATGAACTGGAACCATACGAAACGCTGCTAACAGACGAATAGGAGAAGCATCCAAGCGGCTTACACTCCTAGCAATCAGTCTCTATCAGCATTCAGTAGATCCCCCCAAAGACGAGACAAGGCTCCGTGTTGAGGGTCAAGCAGTGGTCTGTTTAATGAGGGCTACCTGCCCAGTATTTATGCAGGTCTCCCACCTGGTGGACACTCCCCTAGGGGACCAAATGGAGACTGTGACAAAGGACAGACAAGTAGACAAATAGGACACACAGTCACAGTATATTCCCACAATGCATCCTGGCTTCCTCCCCTCTGCCTTGGAGAAAATTGAGAAGTAATTCAATTATCTTCCAAGACAAAGGCAAATTGCCATTATGCACGTGGGGATACTAACACACGAATTACTATTAAAATACACTATGTGAGACACGTAACATTAAAAGCATACATTTAACATATCCCCAGATAGAATGGCGCTCAGACCACACGAATACAGTTTAATCGCCATGGAGCTAAAGTCTTTACACAGTCAGTTTCATGCAAATGAGCTCCATGGGATTCCTATCTGGGGTATAACACATTCAAGTAAAACTACCGAACACTGGGCCATTTGTGCACTTTCACCGAACAAGAAGGGAGGTCGGCGGCTTCAGTGGTGTTCGCGCAAAACTGTGTCCGATTTCAGTTCCATGAATTAAGCATCGAACACCGCTGTGTATTCGCATGTTTAAAATGGCTGCGAACTCGTGTTCGTGATATGAATGGCGGCCACCCAGCATTCATCAATTAAGCTGCGGTTAACCGCAGCTTCAGGGAGGCTAATTGCCGGCACACTCCAGCTCCCAGGTGGTCCAGTCATTCGTGCAGTTGTTCAGTAGATTGAATCTACCGAACACCAGGCAAAAAAGAACGAATAAATCTTTTCTGCAGGTAAAAAGATGTCTTTTAACAGGGGGCCATAGTCCAAAGGCAGCAGACGAGTAACCAGG